GAATGGATGTGGTATAACTATAGCGTTTATATAGAGCGTCTGTATGCAGCTGTATAAATTGCGTGTTTGGTCATACGCAGTGAGTAAGATGAACAGTACATATGGGCGTTTAGGTTGTTGTATGGATTGTAGGGGTGTTGAAGGATCATTTTGGAAATTGTGTATATACTGGGTTGTGTCTGTTTACTTCATGTAATAATAGTGTTTGTGAACTTGTTATTTTATGTTGAGAGTGTTATTTTAAGTGTTGATGTGCAATGGTGTTTTGAGATATTTTTTTGAGACTTGGGGTAAAAAATGGTTGAGACGTGAGAGGGGTGGGGGGGGGGTAGTGAACTGAGATAACGTACTGTACTTGAGTGTTTGTTTTATTGTTTAGGGATCGGATGGGTGTTAATAGCTGTAATGTACGGCGGGCTTGTGTGGTTAGCCATTGTGCAATGCATTTACTTAGTATTACTGTTGTATTGAGTTGCAAAGATTGGTCTGTTAGTTGCTTTATTTGCATTTTCTGTTTTGTTAAGTAGGTCATTTTGTGTGTACAGTAGTGCTTTGTTAAAGGATGTCGGATAATGTTGTCATGTTTGTGCATAAAGGCAATAAGTATGTTGTCCAGTCTTTGTTGTAGTTTCTTACTGTTAGTGGTGATGCGTATATATCGTATTGCTTGGCTGTAGATAACAGAGTTTTTGCATGTTTGGGGGTAGGAGGAATTTTGATTCAGGAGTAGAGTTCTACTAGTTGGTTTGATGTATACATCTGATTTGAGACTGTTGTTGGAATTAATGTAAATAGTTGTGAAAAGGAAGTTCACTGATTTTTATGAGCATGAGTATAGTCAAATTTAGTTGTGGGATGGAAGTTGTTAACGTATGATAAGAATTTCTGGAGTTTTTCAATGTCATGGGTCCAAATTGTAAATGTGTCATCTATGAATCTTATCCATTTAATTGGTATAAGACCCTGTGGTACTTTGTTGAGAAGCTTCCATTCCAATATTGCCATGAATATGTTTGCAAAGGTGGGTGCCATATATAGATGATCTCATAGTGGTACCATGAATTTGTAGAAAGTGTTCATTGTTAATTGCAAAGGAATACTGAATTTTACACACATGATTTTCTCCTCTCGCCTTATGTATTTTACATGCCTCCATACAAGCTTTTTAGTACAGCGAGATCATACTCCGTGAGTATGATCTAAACATTTTTTTTTTTACACCACAGGATATTTTACCGTTACAATTTCACACACGCATCTCCATTTTTTGTTCCAAACGTCTACACCTACACTTACATTTCTTAGGTTCACATTTATACATATACAAGTGCTTTTTTATTTTTTATTCTCAGGCTTATCAAATAAAACATTTTTCATAGGCACGCATTGTGCCAACAACACGAGGCCTTCACACTATCATATTTCACACTACATTTTTATCTAACATTTAGGGACTGTTGTGGCATAAATTTATTACTAGGACACCAATATGGTTCTCATTACCTATATCTAAACTTAAAAAACGAGTGCAATTAATGATTTTCGTGATGGCTGGGGGGAGCGGGAAATCAAAACAACAAAATCCAATATGGTGGCGAAATTTACATAAGTATTTCTAACAAATGTGGACGAATTTAACTAAATTTTGGCACAAGAATGAGTTTAAGAAACATTGTATGGCAAAAAGAGCCTGTGGAAAATACCTGGAAACAGTCTTAAGAAATAATCTTGGCGGGATGCAGCGAAACGTGACTATGTAAGTTTGAAATACAATTTATAAAGATTTTCTTAGTCTAAAATATGTTGTTTGAGTTTGAATCTTGTGTTCTAGTTTAGTTATGTGCCTTTATGAGTTTATAATCATTTCCCAAGTTTGTTTATACCAAATTGCTTACAAAAGAATTAAAAACTCTTGACAAAATGCAGTTGAAATATAAAGAAAGCGATTTTGTCATGCATATAATAAATAAATAATCACACGGGCAAGTCGTGCAATTAATGATTAACACTACTCGTGATATTTGAAAAATGTGCCAATTTTGGCACATTTTTCAAATATCACTCGTAGTGTAGCTTGCTCGCAGGCCGTTGTCAGGCAGAGGCTGCATGGGAGGTAACGGCCTGCGACCCTTATTAGTAAAAAGTCGATTTATGCGTACGCTCCGTACGCAAAATTCCCATTGGTCAGAAGTGTCCCCATGAGTTAATATCGTGCAAATATTTAACTCGTACGACATTTCGCAATGTAATTTTAAAGCTGGCATTCAATCAGTGGCGTATAAAACCATGACTTTGTTTATCTCTTCGAAGAAGTAACTGAAAGTATTTGAGAAACCTTTCAATTTAAATTAACGTTGAAGGATGAGCGAAGCGAAGGTTAGCAATATTAACTGTACTTCCAACGGCATTTGATAAAAGTTTACATGTAATATACCGATACTTTGTCTTCGTCAGCTATAATAATAAACCTTTTCCAAAGAAGTACAAGGGAAAACTTCGACGTATGCCTTGCTGATCTTTGCAGAGAGAGTAAAATAAGTCTAGTTCAGGCTGACAATTTATCTAACCGCGTTTGCATCACTTGCGGTTTCAAACGTTGAACAACTTAAGGTTAGCCCAGCGAGACGTTCATTGAGACACAGGCAGTGAATCAGCTAGTATAAAGCAGTTGATTGTCAAATGCCTCCGAACATTTCTCCCAAATACTTCCCTGTCAACCCAAGGCTTTCTGCCAAGGCTTGGTCTCGCCTAATTAACAATAAAGCTAATGTCCAGACAAACAAACTTGCCGAACTTGCAGGAACTTTTCAATTTGAGCAATTGATTAATGAACCAACACGAATTACGTCCACAACGAAAACGTTAATAGACTTAGCATTCACAAATAAACCGGAATTAATAAATGGTTCAGGAATCATCCATCTGGGAATTAGTGACCATAGTTTAATTTATATTCAAAGAAAAATTTCTATTCCCCGTAATGACCCAAAAGTTATTAAAACAAGACAATTCAAGCATTACAGCGTGAACAACTTTAAATCAGATATTTTCATCTATTTACACAACGGAATATTTTGGGATACTATGCTTGATCCAAATATAATGTGGAAAAAATGGAAAACAACATTTTTATCAATCGCCGATTTTCACGCTCCCGCGAGACTACCAAAAAGGTTAGAAGTGAGTATGCTCCATGGATCACAAATAATATTAGGGAAGTTATGAAACAAAAAGATTTTTTGAAAAAAAAAGCAGTTAAAACAGGATCGAAACAGTTTCATGATGCCTATAAGCGAACACGTAACGATCTAAACAGATTAATTAAAAATACAAAATCGACTTATTTTAGGAACACTTTGAATGGATGCGAAAAAATCCCAAAGAAATGTGGAAAACGATTAATAAACTTACAGGAAAAAAGTCAATAACAACTTTAATATCCGAAATCCAACCTGACAATCAAAATGTAACAAAACCAGAGGAGATCGCAAATAGATTAAACGCGCATTTCAATGAGGTAGCATCAAACCTAGCAAAAGACATTCCACAAAGTTCCAAGACGGCAGAGTCTTACTTAACCTCATCCAACGCACGGTTTAATATTCAAAACGTCTCATTAACAAAAGTATTTAAATTGCTTTCGACGATAAAAACATCCAAGTCAGCAGGCCATGATAGAATATCCGGCAAACTTCTGAAAGATGCGGCTGAAGTTATAGCACCCACATTAACAGCCATATTTAATGCATCTATACATGCGGGTGTATTTCCTGATGACTTTAAAACTGCAATCATTTCACCCATTCATAAATCTGGAAGTAAAACAAATTGCGATAATTATCGCCCAATCTCTGTTCTATCATCAGTTTCTAAAATATTTGAGAAATTAATTACCGAACAGCTTGAAACGTATCTGGAATCTAACGGCATACTTACGGAACAGCAAGCAGGATTCAGAAAAAATAATTCCACACAAACCTCCCTACTTAACGTTACAAACCAATGGTTAATTAATATGGACAAGGGTTGTTTGAACGGTGTTATTTTTCTGGATCTCAAAAAGGCATTTGACTGCGTTGACCACCATATATTAACTAAGAAAATGCATATCTATGGAATAAGAGGACATACACTTGCATGGTTTCGATCTTATCTTACAAATAGGACTCAAATCTGCAAGGTCAACCAAGCAATGTCTGAGGCAAGGACTGTTAAATGTGGCATACCTCAAGGTTCAAATCTAGGCCCACTGCTGTTCTTGCTTTATATAAATGACCTACCAAATTGTCTGAGTCTGTCTTCAGCAAGCATGTTTGCTGATGACACAAACATTTCAACTCACGGTGATACTGGCAATGAAATACAAGAACGCTTAAACGCAGACTTAGAAAATGTGCATCAATGGCTACTTGCAAACAAACTTACACTCAACAAACAAAAAACTGAATATATGATTATCGGCTCACGACAACGTATATCAAATAAAATAGGGGATCCTAAAATTGAACTCGGTGAGTCAGAAATTAAACGTGTTCATAAATCAAAAACTTTAGGAGTTATTATTGACGAGCGTCTTTGATGGGTCGACCAAATTCAAAATACTGTAACGAAAGTTTCAAAAGGAATAGGGATGATGCGAAGAATGAAACAGTTTGTTCCCAAATCAACATTATTGAAAATCTACAATGCCATTGTGTTGTCACACTTTGATTATTGTAGCTTGGTATGGGCCAACTGTTGTGAATATCTAATTGATAAACTTCAAAAATTACAAAATAGAGCAGCGCGAATTATCACTGGTAGCACATACGATGTAAGTTCTGAGAACGTTTTAAAAGAGTTAAACTGGCAACCCCTTAAAAATCGATACAAAAACAATAAGACGAGCTTCTTGCATAAACTAAGAAATGACGCACTGCCATCGTCTTTAACAAACATGTTCAAAATTGCAAATAATGATAGGTATAACTTGCGAAGTAATGATAACAACTATACACTTGAAAAGCCGGAAACAAACTTTATGAAAAAGAGCTTTAGTTACTCTGCTGCATCACTTTGGAACAGCCTGCCCACTGCAGCTAAAGAAAAAGGCATTGGCTTAAACAAATTTAAATGTATTCTTGACGGTACATAATTTCAGTACTATACATATACTTGTTTGTAAATATTTTTATCTAAGCTTTAATATGTGTGTAATATTATATTAGGAAATTTTATTAGTGTGATGCATGTAAACGGCCCCTTGAAAAGCAGGTGTATATATGAGCCCTGAAGGGTTACCGTTTTAAAATATTTTTAAATAATAATAATAATAAATAATAATTATGAGGACAGAGCAGATGATGATGAGAGATGCAAGTATAAAACACCATTACAAGGCTAGATGTTAACATAGCACAATATTTCTGGCAATAAAACGCTCCAACTGACCATTTCACACGAACTTTTATCGCTGGATAATTTTGCGATTTTTCATCCAATTCAATCATATATATGCTCAAAATCTCCGCGTTAAGTTTCTCTTTACCATAAAATTTGACCGAATAAGTTTCGAAACAATGCGACGGCAAAAAATGCAAAAATCCTGATTTTCGTAATAGAATCTATAGTCCTTTTGCCCTGTTGTACCGCCATATTGGATTTATCATGTAGGCCCCACCTGCGCTAGGTACGCATTTTACAATCTAGATCTCCTATATCTATGGGCGAGACCGGCCCTGGACCGGCCCTGGTCTGGGCCGGTCGCGTGAATACCCGAAAAATGGCAGTATTTGACAGCTACTCGTCAAGGAGTGGCGATATATTCTTTAATGAAATATACAAGTCTTCGAAACAAATAAACAGCCAAAAGACTTCTCAATCGATATTATTTATGTGTAGCGAAGTTTGGCACGAATCAGCTGAAATCTCTGAAGACCCTGTCGATATTTTCTAAGATATACCAATATTTCTGGAGATTTTCAACCACAGGCAAAGCTGCATCCAAGCTGCATTTACACTTAGATCCAGAGATCCAGGCGTCTCCATGAGTGGTGATTCACGAGGTGATTCACACGAAATTTGCTTTCTCTCGTCTTGAACAATTTAATTTAATTTAATTTAAATATGCTCTTATAGATCTGACTTGTTAGATCTGACTTGCTCTTATAGATCTGATCTGACTCGTTCGATATAAATAAACACAAATATAAAACCTCGCGTAACCTGTTTACGCTGTACCGGAATATACGTATTCGCTTGTTTCGCCGGACACCAATGCTTGCCTACAAATTTTATCCCCTTCACAATCTTTGTTTTATTTTGTCGTATAATCGCAATTTTCAAGTATTCGATGTATTCTGAAACTGTAAAACTCGGTGGCGTGACGAATCTTGTAGAGACTACATCGGCCTACAGGGCCTCAATTAATTTAGTAGTTCCATTTAATTGTTTGTCTTGCTTTTATTTGTCAGTATAGAATATTGTAAATTAAAATATTACTACAATAGTACAATGCAATACGCGTAGTATTTCATCAGACATCTGCACTACATTATAAATACTGTACAAGGAAAACTACAGCTTAAATAATAGTAGACGTTTCTTTGTGTTTTGTCAGGAAACATCACAGCTCACGTCGACACGGCTTTTGAGTTTTATAACCGGCCGAGGCGAAAGTAAATCATGCAGTCGGGAAAACGTTCTTACTTTGAAAGATTATATTGCAAAACATACTCGTACTATATCTATGACTCGTACACACAAGAATCATAAAAATACAAATGTTGAATTGTTATTGTCAACTGCCAAGTTATTTTTAGACAATAATATGGTGTTAGTCAATCAGAATGCAAAATTGACCGGCCCAGACCAGGGCTTTCTCGCCTCTCCCCTCGTCCTCATATGAAAGCCTTGGGAACGAGGTTGTTTCGATGTTTATATTTTGGTTTTTTTCCGTTTGGTCGGAGAAAAGTACATTTCGGGCTTGGCACTAAGTCCACTGAAGCCAATTCACAGTATTATACTGTCCTTGGTATCGTTAGGGTGGATTCTTAAACTTTTGGGTAGTGTTTTGAGTTTGAAAATCGTCTACACTCCTCGGTTTGTCGCTAAAAAAAATATTTGGACCACGGTCAAGATATCGTAAAAAGCTGCTCGCTGTTGCAGCCAATCAGATTGCGGGAGATAAAAAAACATGATTTGGCATTCACAAATAAAAAAATAAAATCAATTATTTTGACAATTTAAAAAAAACTCTGTGGAGCCGAAGTTTTTAAAATTACTTCAAAAACTCATTAATCAAATTCATGAAGCAATTATCCAATCTTGAGTAAGAAATTAGTCACGTGCATACGTCTTTATACCAGCTAAAGAACACTTTAACAAAAGACCATTGTTATGCAAACTATATAAAGATTTTTATATGAAGATTTTTATATAAAGATTTTTATATAAAGATTTTTATATAAAGATTTGACTTATTATGCAAACGTTTTTGAAGCCATTTAAAAAACTCGCAGGTCGTGTTTTATTAGGTCTAAAGCCACTTGCGCTACGCGCTCGTGCCTTTAAACCTAATAAAACACTCCTGCTCGTTTTTTAATTCTAAATTTTTCGATTCTAAAAATTCGATCAGAATATTTCATTTAAATATATCACATGACCAGAGATCACGGACATGATTTATTCTACGTCATTCGTAATATGGCTTCTGCAGTATACAGTAAAATTATATTACGCTATGCTGTAAATTCCAAAATCAGAGCATATATGTTAGGTCGTTTGCAATTTGCCTCGGTCGCTGGCTATAAATCAAAGTCGGTCGAAGTATTTAACGTAATGTTGACTTGATTTTAGTTAGTGAACATTCTGCATTTTCAGTATTTGTACAGAAGCTAGTTTGTACTGAATTTGTCTATTTAACTCTATATAAATAATACCGCACTATAGCCACTAGGGGCCGGTTGTTCAAAGGTGCAGGATTAGCGCCAAGGGTGGGTTGACTACAAAATTTTTGTAGTTCGCTATAACTACAGCTACTTCAAAAATATGTAGTCAGCTACAATTACTGCTACTTTTGAACAAAGGTAGTTCCCTACTAACTACAGCTACTGCTTAAAAAGTGTAGCGAACTATTTCGCTATTTCGCTACGCTATATTTTTTAGTTTTACTGTATTTGGAGCATCTACTAACTCAGGCTGTAATGTAACCTATAACAATCGACTTACGAGTAGCAACGGTGAACACAAAGCAACATTTTTGCAAGCATTACAGACGTGTTCAGGAGTGCAAATTGACTATTGAAGGCCTGCTCTGGGACCTTAAATCGCCCTAAATCGCCCTAAATCGCTTTAAATCGCCTTAAATCGCTATGTCAAATTGGACAAATATATCTTAAATCGCCTTAAATCGCTCTAAATCGCACTAAATCGCAACTTCATATTAGATGAATTTCTCTTAAATTGCATAATAGTGGCAACAGAAAAAACAACAAAATTCAGGTTTTGGTTTTAAATCCATGCAAATACTCAACCATCCATTGGCTTTACATACTCATATTATTAATTGTCGTTATCAATCACTTTCCGATGTAAGATTGTAAACAATAACAATGCAAATCATGACGGTTGGCACTTATTCTTTAACTACATCTCATTTGCACAGTTTCCAACTTTCAAGTCAAGAATTGAATATGGAACAACTTCAATCAAAGTATACTGCTATACATAGCAATATACAATCAAGGGTAATGGAATATAATGTATAAATTATGTAGGTACAAGCCAATATTTTCCTTTATATGGAATACTGAAAACAAATTAAATACCTGGGATACCATCAATAGTAAAAACATGCTTAAAAATAACAAATTCCAAAGCATATTTGCTTGGGTGAACTTTGTTATTAAATTACTGTAATACATAACTTGATATATTTTGCCTGCCAAGAATGCACAGACATGTTTTTGAGAAAGCTTTAAAGGACATGGGTCGTTTTATTAAGTATGCTAGCATATATAATCAGACTACACAAAATGAGTTGCTTTGCATTCCTCGCAAGCAAATTGTATCAAATTATTAAACAATATTTATGTAAATAAGTTTACCGTCTTTAGTAAAAATCTTTCTTTATAACTACATACCCGTTACCATAAATAGCAGAGTTCTCGATTTTACCACAATAGGTTGTTTTAACGTCATTTGCGAAATGTTTGTTGACAATCAAGAAGTCAATCACGTAGTTGAAGCAGTGGAAATACACGGGGAAATACATATGTATCGCCGTTTTTAATTTCAATAATTGTCGTGGAGCTGAGCCTTAATTTATACAACGGCCAGCGGGGAAAACCTAAACACTGAACTGCATATATCACTGCACTATTATTCTGCTTGTTTAATAATAATTTATAAAACAAGATTTGATATATAAAAGTGAAACTATAAAACACCCTGGAAATTGTGCATTTAACTACACGCTGACACTATTTAAAATCTTACAAGTAACGAATTCATCAGATATTGGTAAGACATGCGCAAATTTGATATAATATGTATAAATATATTGACATATTGATATTGCAATTTTGTACCGTACGATCAAGGAAATTATTTAATTAAATTAAATAAAGGCTAATTAATATTATATTAATCAGCCTTTCTCACGAAGGCCAAATTTACCATTTTGGGGGTACTTGATGATGAAAAATCTAAGCGATGTGAAAACAATTTTCAAATATTTAACTGTAAATTAACTTATAATGAGTAATACAAATGTCATATTCACTGATACAATCAAAGATCTGGAAAAGCCATTACCCCAAAAATGGCAGCGTGAGAAAGGCTAATTGAGCCCCTAAAATTGAACATTATAAATAAGGTAGTTGGGAACCCAAATTATGTTTTGGAACATGATTAACAAATCTTGAGCTTATTTGGTTACGGCTGAGCCAAAGTGCAAAACACACTTCAAGCCTATTAACCCACTTCAAATTCTAGTTAATTATTAAAAGAACTGGACATAATTTGATTCCACTATTACATTGCCTATCATTAATATGCCTTGAAAAGGATCTCCAATTAATTGGGGATGTGCAATTTGAAAATCTAATTTGCCCTTTAACATTTAACATCTGCCACATAGTACAGGGCTTACCGGTAATAAGAATAACTAAATTTTAACAACTAGACTTCCAATTATATATGTCCAAATGCAGTGCTAAAAATATTAATCTCTGAGTGCTGACACTATTTCATCTGTGTTTTGCCCCAGCATATGTGTCCTCTGTGTTCTTGAACCTCTTTTCTGCCTCTGTCCACTGAGTTCAGCATATGATGAAATGTTCTGACCTGCTCTACTGCGTATAATTCTTCTTCTCGACATCTGAAGAACTTCTTCCTGAACTTCATGGGAAAGTTTTTGAGTGACGGACGTTTCCTCATCATCACTATCACTGTCACTGTTGTCCTCACTCTCATATTGTCCAAAAAGTTTATCTCTGAACTCATCAGACAATTTGTCAAGGTTGTGAATGAACTCTTGTGTCAATTTGTACACTACCGCCCCATCCTGCCATCCTGCATTAAGCTGTTCAACAGATATAACAGCAGGCTT